CTGTCCCTGTCCCCTGCCCTCTGCCACCGCTCACACAATGGTGGAGGAAGCCACCCGGGCCGCATTTCCCTTCTGCTCCTTGGAGAATCGGGGCAGCACACAAGCTGGGGACGGATTTAGCTCCTGGATGCAGATGAAACATCTCCGTGCCGACTGCTCCTTCCCTGTGCTCAGCCCCGTGCTCAGCCCCTCATCAGGGCAGTGGAACTGCACACAAGGGAGCAGAGCAGCGCAGTCAGCGCGGCAGGCAGAGCACAGTGCGGGGAAACAAAGAGCAGGGCTGTGTTTGCTGCCTTCTTGGTGGCATTCACTTCTGCTCAGAGCCGGCTTCCTCTTGTCAGGAGCCTCTTGACCTGCAGATCCCTCTCCTCAGCAGCCCTGCTGCCCGGTGCCAGGATCCGGCTGCCTCTTCAGATCAAACCAGCAAAATGCATTGAGCACAAAGAGCCCGAGCTCTTGTGTGCTTCGAGGCTTTCAGCTCCCTGGCGGTTGTCCCTGGGGCTCACATTCGAGGGGAACGGCAAGGCTCCCTACAAACACATCAGGAAGGGGGAAGGCTGCCAGGCCCGGCCCTGCTGCTCTGTCCCACAGCCCTTTGGGCGCAGCGTGCAAGCTGCTGGTCGGCTTTGGCACAGCGGGCAGCAGGCTGCAGAGCTCCCGGCCTGCGCTCAGCTGTCGGTGCCCTGCTTTGCCCTGCACTGCCGGCCCAGCTAGAACTGGGGCTGTGGGCTGCAGTCCCAGCAGTGCCCTGAGCTCTGACAGCCGGCGGGTGGCATTTGGAACCAATGGCTGTCACCAGCTCAGCGAGAGTCCTGCTCGCTTGTTTTTACCCAGCTGTGGAAGTAGATTCGATTCCCCATTATTATGCTCTGGAGTCAAGTTTCCTATAGGTAACTTAGGGCGTAGCCTACGTATGTGTAAAATACTGCTATCGTGTTTTCAATTAAAATGCCTATGATAGTACCAAAAGGAGAGGAGGGATCAAGGAAGGGAACCCAGATTAAGTTTTTTAATTGTTTTAATAGTGAGATTTAGTTCGGTGAGAACAGGGCACATTGGTTTCCTTGGAAACACTGGCGATGGATGAGCTGCATAAATCCAGCAGGAAAAGATTTGCAAAAGCGGAACCCTTTGGTTTAAAGTGAGATTAAAACTCTCTTCGTTCGGAAAATGAGATCCTCCCGCGGCCCCCGCAGCGCACCGGACCGGGCCGGCAGGGACCGCAGGAATGCCCGGTGCTGCGGGGGGGCTGCGGCCCACCTTGGGGCGGGGCGATACGCGCTGCGGGGCTGACAGCTCTTCCCAAGGAAGGGGGAGCGCAGCCCGCAGGTAACGCCACGCGGAGGCTCGCACCGTCACGCAGGGGATGGATGGGGGTTTCGGCGCGTCAGGCAATCGCTGGGCTGAAGTCACCGCAGCAGCTGAGTAAATAGAGTTACGGAAAAGGCATTTATGGGAGCGTTCGCGTTCCAGGATCCTCCCCGTCTCCTCATCCGCCCGTTTGTTTGTGTTCCCGTCGCTCTGGTGCTGAATCCCGAGCGAACGGGGCCGCGGTGCGGAGGGTGCCAGGGGCACGCGCGGCCGATCTGCCCACAGCGCACACGCCGCACAGCGGATCAGCCCCGCAGCGCAGCGCGGCTCGGCTCCGCACGGCTCGGCTCGGCCCCGCCCGCAGCCGCCGCCCCCTGCGGCGCTCCCCGCCGGCCCGGGCCCCTCCAGGCGGCGGTGCGGGAAGGCGCGAGCTGCGCCTTTGTCACGGCACCGGGTCAGCGCGCGGTCACGGCCCCGCCCCACGTGGACGGAAAGCCCACATGGCCGGGCGGGCCCCGCCTCCTTTCTCCCATTGGCTGTCCGGAGCCCGGCGGACGGGTTTCCCACTTTTGATTGGCTGAGGGCGCGCGTCGTTTACATGCGGAGGGCGGAGGAACGCCCGTCCGTGACATCGGGCGCCGTCTGGGGCCGCCCCCGAGGCGTCTGGGGACCTTAAAGGAGCCGCCGCACCGCTGCTGTGCGGTGCGTGATTCCGCCTCTCCGGGGCCGCGGTGCTCCCGGGAAGGTGCGAGGTTGCGGCGGTCCGGGCGTTCTGAGACTCGTTCCCTAGCGCTGCTTTATTTTACATGCAGAATGCTGGGATACTCCGGGTTGGAAGGGTCCTGCAGGGGTCGTGAGGTCCTGGCCCCGCAGAAGTCTACCCGAAATTCCCTGCCTGGTTTTGCTGGTTTTGTTTTTCAGTGCAAGAAAATAAAACGCGTTCATCTGGGGAGCCGTGAGGGAGACTGGGGCTGGCACAGGGCACAGGGCTGTGCTCCCGTGGGCACTGCTGGGCTGGAAGTGTGCTGTGCTGCTCTGCTGTATGGTTACAGTAACAGGCATGGAGCTATCGGGAGGATCCAGGGGTGTTGGGGAAAGGCTGTGCCAAGAGGGTGGTGGGCATGGCACAGTAACCCAGGGCTGTGGGCACGGCCCTGAGCTTCCAGAGCTCACAGTGTTGGGGTAGCACTCTTGGGCATAGGGTTTGGGTTATGGGTGGTGCTTTGTAGAAGCAGTTGGGCTCCGTGGGGCTCAGGACAGTAGCAGCAGAGCCACAATTCATTAGGAGAGACACGGTGGGCACTGTGGATCATTGGAGGTGAAATCTTGATTGTGGTGGTTCTCAACACTTACTGCAGAGGATGAACTCTGAGAAGGAAAATGTGTCTGATGTTCCAGACAACGATGAGGGCTCATCTGCTGAGGAATTAATTCAGAGTGGCTGCAGGGCTTTAAATCATACGTGAGAATAATCTGTGCAAACTTGCAGAGGGAAGCAAGGGGCTGCCGGGCACCGTCCCTGCCCAGCACTGTTCTCCTCTGCACAGATCTCAGTATTGCTGCCTGCCAGGGAGAACACTGGGGTGCCTCGTCTCGAACAGTTTAAAAGCCTCAATGAAGTGGTTAGTCACCAGAAAGTGGGAACCGTGTCTGGGGTTGTTAGAAATAAGGTGCACTTGGAAATAAATATAGAATTATTCACCATGGTAACTCTTGCCCTGCTGCATTGGTGCGTGTCTATTTAACATGAGTCTGAAAAGTAATGCTGTGAGATACTCTGTCTCCTCAAATGGACAGCTGTGTGGTTAACAAACCTTTGGGGAGCTGTTTTTGTGTTTCTTTGGATCTCCTCAACCACTCTGCCAGGGTGGTTTGACTCTTAGGGTTACTTGTGTCTATTATGGTTATCAGTTATCAGTCTGTCCCTGGTGTAGCACTGCAATGATTACAGCAGGGTCACTGCAATCTGTGACACTGAAGTGCTGCCCTGAAGAATTGAAAGCAAAGACTTGAAGCATGACTGTGTGAGCAGTGACTGACTGCAGGCCTGGACACAGTGCCATTGGCCCCACAGATCAGAGAGCATCGCTGTGTGCTGTGCAGGTTGTCCAAGGAGCTCGAGCTCAGCCAGGATGGAGCACAGGTGTCAGAATGCAGAAATGCACTGGAGAAGCACCGCAGTGTGTGGTGCTGCCCTGAGCACCGTTGGGGGGCGGGGAGGGGGGGGGGGGGGGGGAGGGGCGTTACTGCAGAGCATTCAGTTAGCTGATTTTACCAGCCCATCTGGAATGACTTTAATTATTTGTTCTTAAATCACGGTGGAAAAATGCTGATAGTTGTAAAGCCACGAGTGGTTCAGATGCAGTTGGGATAGCGGGGCGTTTGTAGGCCAGCGTCAACTTGCAGACCGTTCTGCTTTGTCTTCCGTGAGGTGAGGGCGATGTGCGGACTTGCAGCAGCCTGTGTCTGCAACTGGAGCCTTCCTCCCATGCAGCCTTCCTCCGGCGGAGCCCTGCAAGCTGTGGGGCTGCATGGCCTGTGTTTCTGGGCAGGGGGCTGGCACTGCAGGGCTGCCACCGCGCTGTCACCATGCCCTGACCACGGGTGCTGCCAGCTGCTGGCAGAGGCTGAGCTCACAGCCACCTTTTGGAGCCACCAGGTGAGGCTCACTGGGATCAGGTCTCTAATATTCAGCCGCCAAAGGCTTTAAATACACAAAGCCGTGTCTCTGGTGGAGCAGTGATGGCAGTGGGCCCACACACACCAGGAGCTGAGCAGTGCAGCTCCCTCCAAGCACGGCATCCCACTCATCCCCAGGATGGTGACTGCCGGGTGGCACAGAGGGGCAGCTCAGTTTGGCAGCCTCCAGCTGTGTCCTTCAGGTAGCTTTGCGGTGCTGGACCGGGCACGAGGCATTGCGAAGTGCAGGCATGTCCTTACCGAGGGTTTGTAAACCACCACGGAAAAATCGGCCTCTGCTGATCGGGACCGCGGGCTCCCAGAGGCGCTCTGCCCCCCCGCCCGGCCCGTGGCTGCGCCCCACTCGGGTCCCTTTCTAAGCTAAGAAGTCTGTGCTGACCCCCGGCACGTGGAGCCCCAGGGAGGGGATGGAGTATTTTCCTTTCTCCTTTCTAAAAGCGAACGGGGCTGCTCCATTTTCAAGCGATCGCTCTGAAGCAAAAATAATAAAAGGGAACGAGAACTATGGGTTGAGATCCGGAGGAGCGAACAGCCGCGCTGCGGGCGAGGCGCTCGGCCTGCCCCGTTCCCTTCCCTTCTCTTTCCCTTCGGACCGCGGCGCTCGGGGCCTCCGCCCCCCCCCGGCCCCGCTCCGCCCCGCGGGGCGCCCCCCCGGTTTGCCCCCCCCCCCCCCGCGCCCCCCCCCGCGGCGGCGGCGCGAGGACGCGGGGCAGTCCCCGTCTGGCGCTGACGTCACGGGGCCCGCCCGCGGCTGGCGGCGGCGCGCGGCCGCGTCCCCGTGGCCGTGAATGAGAGCGGGGGGCGGGAGCGGAGCGGGGAGCGGGGAGCGGGCGGGCCGCGCTCCCGCCGCGCCGCGCCGCTCCGCCGCGCCCCACAAAAGTGAGGGGCTGCCGCGGCCGGGCCCAGCACAGCGCTGCCCGGGCCGGAGGGGGCGCGGAGCCGAGCCGGGCGGAGCCGAGCCGTGCCGGGCAGAGCCGCTGCGGGGGGCGCTGCGCTGCGCCGCGGTTGTGATTTCCAATTTTTAATCGCAGCTGCATTTCCCTCCCCCCGCCCCCCCGCGCCGGGGAGGAGCCCCGGCTTTATGTGGTGCTGCCCGGGGAGCGCTCGGCGGCCCTGAAGTGCTTTGTGTCGCCGTCGCCTTCGTCTTTTTTTTTTTCTTTTTTTTCTATTTTTTTTATTTTTTTTTTTTTTTTTTAATAATGTATAACTTAATGGGTCTGAACAGCACGGCCGTCGCTATTCAGCCCAATGTGTCCTGCACATGCAACTGCAAAAGGTCTTTGTTCCAGAGCATGGAGATCAGTAAGTACCGACCTGCGGCCCTCCGGGGCTGGGCGTGCGGTGCTGGGTGTGCAGATGGCAGCGGGCGGTGGGAGCGGGGCTGGGGAAGTTGCCGTGGCTGTGGCCGCGCTGCGCTCCCCACGCACGGCGGCGGCACGGCGGGGCCGCGGCTGAAGGTGCCGCTCCGCTCCGCCGCCCCCGCGCGGTGCCCGCGACCCCTCGCGGGTCTCCCCCGGCCCCACGGGGTCCCCCCTCTGTCTCGGCGCGGATAGGAGCCCCCCCACCCCACCCCCATCTCCAGGTGTCGGCGTGGTTGTGCTTTTTTTTGGTGTTTTTTTTTTTTCCCCCGTCTCTTCTGGGGGCTGTTCGGCTTTGGTAATGAATATTTTTCAACCCGCGCAGAGTAGGAAAGGACGGCGCCTGACCCGATAGCACCGCCGTTCTGTTACTCTTTGCCTTTTGGAGATGGACTGCGCAGAGATGGAGCGCAGGATGGCACTGCCGAGGACAGAGGCGCGGCGGCTGCTCTGGGACTGAAAACCGAAGGGCTTTCCTGTGCAGGGAAAGATCTTGGGGCCAGGCGAGCTGTCAGCGCGGTGCTCGAGAACTTAAGCCCTCTGAGGCTGAATGGTCCAAAAGCTGGGGAAGGCTGTGCATGTGCTCCCAGCAGGACGTGGGTTCTCTCAGTGCCGGCTGCGGGGCCGTGGCACCGGGCGCTGCTGCGGTCCGTGCCGTTCCCGCAGTGGGTCCGTGAGCAGTGGCCGTTCACAGCCCGGTGCCGGGCAGCCTCCGCCGCCTCCGGTTCCGCCGCTGTTCGGTTCAGGTGTCGGCGTCCTGCGGGAGAGCTGGGGGCGGTTCTACGCCGGGTGCTAAAATGGATTCACTCTGAATTTTAGCATAAAACATTCCCTTTGTACTGCGTGCGTTTAATCTTGATTTAATCTCATTCGTGTTCAGACAAAACTAAGCTGGATTTGCCTGATTTTATTAACACTGCCGGTACTGAATAGACCATTCTTCTCCCCTGACTCCAGCGGCCGGGCGGGCTGTGCATACCAATAGCGGCGGGTACATAATGAGGACCGTTCCGTGGGTGCCGGCAGCAGCGCTGCGGGGCTGAGGCTGCAGCCGGTGTCCGGCTGGGCTGGTGGCAGCGCTGGGAGCTCACACGGGCAGTGTCTGCTGGAGATAGAGCTGCTCTCCCACTCTGTTGCTGTGAGGTTTTGTTGCAACCACCCCAGCTTTGAATTTCATACTTCTTAGAGATAGCATCTTGGGTTTTGTTTCTGCATTTTCTGACATGGGCTCAGTGGGATGCAGTGCCCGCAGTCCCGAGGGCTGTCCCTGCAGTGCTGCCCACGCTGTGCTCAACCCCAGAGCTGGGCTGTGTGGCCGGGCTGCAGGGCTGCTTGCCTCTCTTTTCCTTCCCGGGCTTCCCCTTTGCCACCGATGACATTTATCTCTCTGCTGCCGCTCACTGCAGTGGCAGCCGTGGGCTGTGGTGGTCCTGCAGGAGCTGTTACCTGATAGTCCAGCTCTGAAGGGGAGGGAAGAGCTGAGCCCCATCCATCCTCACAGAAAGTCATATTATGGCTTTTTCCTCCTCCAGTCGCTTCTTTGTGCTTATTCTTTTAATATAGCTCTCAGGGGACCTCTGGGCAGCTCCCATCAGATGCTATCTCAGTTCCCAGCCGAAAGTTCCCAGGCAGGAACGCTTTGAGATAGTGGCAGAGCTGTAAGCTAATTTAGGTCTCTCGTTAGGTTAGCCCTGTATCTGAGCCCCCAGACTGTTTCTTCACTGGTTCTCCCTGAGCAGCGAGCAGCAGCTGTGCTCTGTGCAGCTCTTGGATGATGAGGGGTTTGGAAAGGAGAGGCTGAGCCTACTAGTTGTGCTGGGCAGCACTGGGTGCAGCAAAATGAATTGTCTCTGCAGAGTGACAGAGGTCAGGGCTGAGCCTGGTGTCAGATGGGTCCGTAAAGAACTCATTGTGAGGTGAGTGACAGACTGAGGTGTGTGTCTGGGAGCTCATCGCTCGGGGGGGGGATGTTGCAGCATCCCAGCATCTCCACTAGGACCTCATCTGTGCCAGGGCTGCATCAGACCCCATGGGATGATCCCAAAGGGGTTCAGCTGCCAAGGGAGATGGGGTGCCGAGGAGGTGCTTGGTGCAGGAATGGGGGCAGCTTCGGGTGTGGGTGTGCAAGGGTTGTGCTGGGTTTGTGCTCGTGCTGGGGGTGGCACTGGTGGGAGCTCTGCCTGGAGTGGGGGCTTTGAGGTTTTCACATTCCTGGGTTTAGTATCAAAACAGTGCTGATGGCTCCACCAAAGATCACGTCTCCTGACCACTTCAGACTGCGTTTTGGCAGCAATGTCTCTGTCCTGACACAGCGCTCAGGGTAGAGTGTATAACACTTTCTTTTCCTCTCTCTTCTGTGAGGTTTCCTGTAGGAGGCTGTAGGAAGGCTGAGCTGCCGCCAGTGCCTTAGCAAGCTGTAGAGCGTTCTCTAAGTGTGCTCCGGTTGTGGTTCTCACTTTGGCTGCAGCCAAAACCAGGAGAATGCCATGTGTCCCTGCAGGCTGTGCTGCTCCGTGTGCAGGTCAGCATCCCCAGGGGTGCCCAGAAGGAGCAGGGCAGGGGCAGGTGGTGGCCTGGGGGCTGGCCGTGCTCCAGTCTTGCAGCACTGGGGTCATAAAGCCAGACTTGATTTGGTGCCCTTGAGCAGTGATGTAATCCTGCTGCTATAATCAGGGCTGAATGGAAAAATGAAAAGATGTAGTGGGAGGAGAAAGATCTGGCTTTTTTTTTTTTTTCTTCTGGGCGAACACCTGGGTGACATTGCAGCAGGACCCTACTGCACACACAGCAGCGGTGCCCAGGACCACGCACAGCACAGGGATGTGGCATGGCTGGGGCTGCCCCAGCAGGAGGTGCAGAGCAGGGCATGGGGACTGCGGGATGTGTGACAGGCTGCACATTGCCCAGCCCTCGTTTCACCTGGCGCCGTTTGCAGGTGCTGACCGACAGTGATGACACCGCAGCGTGTGACACACAGCACCCACACTGCGTCCCTCAGAGCCGGGAGCTGCGGGGGGTCTGAGACACCTCGAGATGCTCAGGGTATGAATGAGCCACTCGCTTTGCAGGTGGAGGGGAGCGCCTATGGAGAAGTGCTCTCTCTCCTTATTGGTTTTTATTTGCTGTTGCTCACCTAGCGTGCGAACATGTTCAGCTTTCCAGCGCTGAGAGTCAGTGGCAAGTTAAATCCAACTTGAGAATGAGTTTGTAAACCTAAATTAGAAATGGGTAGACATGAGGAGACCTTTTCAAGGGAAGTACCAAAATATGTGGTGTCACTAATGGGCATAATTACAGCCCAGCTGCTTTCCTGAGTAACTCGCTGTGCCGTCATCCCTGCTGGTCTTGTTTCAGGTAGTGGCATCTGGCAGAATTTGGTAACCCTCATGAGCTAAAAAAGGTCATTTATTTGCAATGGCTTTTCGTTGACAAACTGGCTCACACCTCATTCACTGCCTGCAGGGAGATCCGTTCTGTTTGGTCACTGCAGCCCTTGGTGCTGACATGGGGCACCTGCTGGTGGTGCGGCTCTGCCTGCAGGAGGGATGTGCAGGGCTACAGCTGGGGAGAAACTTTGTTCATGCCACCAGCACACTGCCAGGAAGCCATAAAGCAAAAGAATCATTAACGTCAGTGGGGATGCTGCATGCAGCGCTCGTCCCGTCTGTGTGGCTGAATTACCATGGGATCATTTTGTAATTATTTGAGGAGGAAATGCTGGAGATGAGCTGCAGCACTGGGGTAGCATCTGTGTGTGCACACAGGCGTGAACCCGTTTGTGAAAGTTAATTGATGGAGCAGTACAACAAAATTGTATGAAATGGACTTGGGAGAGAAGGGGTTGGTAGCTGGAGAAAGGAGTTGTGACTTGTTGTGCATTTTTTTTAGAGCAGATAAATTTCAGCTGCAGTTCATCGTCCAAACCGGAGGATTTGAGGAACTCTTGAGAGTAAAGAGAGCTCTGATGATTTGGCCAGGAATGCAGCTTCCAAGGCGGCACTTTGATCTGCATTTTAAATGCTTCTTTGTAATGGCAGTTTCACAATTTCTTTTCTCATTTTAAGTCAGTTTTGCAGAGGTATGTTGTGGGAGAAAACAGTATGAGCACACATGATTCCTGTCTGCTTTGCAGCCAGCTAGAACTTGTACTTCATCCCAGATCTGTTGGCTACTATGGCACATTCATGATTACGCCAGAAAGGAAATTAGTAGAGATGTTAAATATTATCAAAGCTTTGGGAATCTTCTAAAATATCTCCAGTGTGAAAACTAAACTTGCATTAGCATTTCTGCTGCAATGTGGTGTGCAGCATTGAGCAGAGCACCCACCCAGCATCGCAGGTTCCTGATTTGTTGTTTGGTTGTTTTTTTTTAACACCTGACAATTGATGTTTCCATGTAGCACATGCAGCCTGGTGATCTCCTTCTGCACTCCAGGCCCTGAGTGTACTGAGCCAGAAGCTTTCTGAAGACAGCCTGCTGCTTTAGTGGTGCTGGTGGCGACCTTTGTCTTCCCTTTTCATCTACAGCACGTTCTCAGATAAACTCTGTCTATCCCTATGAAGAGGGCTTGTTGCATTAATTTCTGTGGTAGGAATGGAGTAAGGGGGGATAGGAATCGAGAACATTCATTAAAGCTTTTGTTTAAATCTTCTGTAGCATCATTCCTTCTTGCAGACAGCTTGGGGAATCAGTGGCCTTATAGGTGAAGGACAAATAGACACATGTTCCCCAGGGGATGCAGAGCTTCGTAGTCGCTCTTGTGGTGCTGGCTTTGGCCTCTCCTGAGCTCTGACTCTGAAATGTATGAGGCCAGCAGCAAACTGCAGACCAAGCTCAGCTGGTGTGCAGAAAGGCTGCGCCACTCACCTGCAAGCAGTCAGCCCACATGGATGGGCCTCAGAGGGCAAAGGGTACAGCAGTGACTGAGACAAATGGTAGTGT